AAGATTATGTTCTACTGAATATATTCATCCTATTTGTATGCATGTATCATTTTTGTATTCAAAGTTATGAACATTGGCTGTGTACTTGTTTGATTTTAAGTAGCCTTAGGAAGGTATTTGGTCAGCTTCTTTAGAAAGGAATTTGCAACTTAAGTGCCCAATGAAAGAACACTTAATGGATAATGGATCTTGGAAGATGACAATCCACATAAGAAGTCTACTTGAGGATGTTCAAGATAGCATGTAAACAATGACTGCTGCCTGTAAAAATTGAGTCATGCACGGACATGTGACTTGCCCATGTGACTCCAAAACTTCATATTGGAGCTAGATTTTGCATACGAGAGAGGAGGGGTCTCCACCCACAAGGGAGAGTCTGTATAAGCCCCCGGGAGACCCCTCCATTTGGTATTCAGGTGGCTCAAGAGATAGCTTCTCCATCCCCAAAGGATACTTGAAAGAAACTGGAACAAACGACAATAACTGCAGAGGTATGAGTGATTGCTGGACCCAGACTAGAAGGAGCCTAGTCTGTAAAAGAAGCTTACTGGAACATCTCTGAGGGTGAGATTTCATCTGTAAACACTTTCTTACTGTATTAGGCATAGACTTGCATGTTTTATTTTATTTTACTTTATTTTATTTTGTTCTGTCTGTTATTACTTGGAACCAATTAAATCCTACCTTTTGTATTTAATAAAATCACTTTTTACTTATTAATTAACCCAGAGTATATATTAGTACTGGGGGGCAGGAGTGGGGGGGGGGGAACAGCTGTGCATATCTCTCTATCAGTGTTATAGAGGGCAAACAATTTATGAGTTTGCCCTGTATAAGATTTATACAGGGTAAAACGGATTTATTTAGGGTTTGGACCCCATTTGGATCTGGAGTAACAGCCGTGTTAGTCTGTATTCGCAAAAAGAAAAGGAGTACTTGTGGCACCTTAGAGACTAACCAATTTATTTGAGCATGAGCTTTCGTGAGCTAGAGCTCACTTCATCGGAACTTCATCACTCCGATGAAGTGAGCTGTAGCTCACGAAAGCTCATGCTCAAATAAATTGGTTAGTCTCTAAGGTGCCACAAGTACTCCTTTTCATTTGGATCTGGGCATCTGAGTGTTGGAGACAGGAGCACTTCTTAAGCTGTTTTCAGTTAAGCCTGCAGCTTTTAGGGGACATGTTTCAGACCTGGGTCTGTGTTTTCAGCAGGCAAGAATGTCTGGCTCAAATCAGGCAGGGCCCTGAAGTCCTAAGCTGGCAGGGAAAACAGACTCAGAGGTAGTCAAAGCACATTTGGTGGCAGTCCCAAAGGGGGTTTCTGTGATCCAATCCGTCACAAGAAGGTGAAGAAGAGATAACTGCATGACACAGTACAAGATAAAGGGTGCATGAGACTCCACAATGTGCAGTGATCAGGAATACATTTCTAAGTGGCCTATCCTTATCAGAGACTGGGTTGCAGTACAGAGCATGGTGAGGGCAGTGTCTCCATCCAAATGTAGGGATGCTGAGGCAACCTCAATGCACTGCCAAATCTACAGCACCTATCCCAGGGTTGGAAATGTTCAAGTAAAGTGCACTACAGCTGCTTGGGAGATGACAAAAGTAACTACAACCAGGAAGGAGGTGAGACGTTTTCCCACAGTTTCTGACTCCCTGTTGTCCTGTGGAAAGGTAATGGACCCTGAGCTGGGCAGGAGAGGAAATCTGCTCTCCTTGCCTGAGTGTTTGGGGAACAACAGGCCATCCCAGTGGAGTGGGGAATCAATATCCCTCCAGCTTCCCCCAGAAAAGCTGAATTTAGGCCACGAGAATTCCTGGGCCCTGATTGCCGGTGAGATGGGGCAGAGAGAGGAATTTAGCAAATGGGGAGGTCTGAATAATCTCCCTTGCTAGACCTCTCTGATGTTACAAGCAGTGCATGGTGGAGAGCTACTTGACAGGGAGGCATCCCTGCCTTATTTCTACTTTTGGTTGAAAAAATTGCCGTGTATAATATTTCCATGGTAGGGAGACGTTCAATCCATTGTGGGGCAGCCATCCCCTTGAGGGACAAAGGGACACCACACACAAGCCTTACAAACCAGATGGGAAATGGGAGTGGTAGGACCAGGTTGCATGTTTACACCCAACTTTTTGGGGGCAAGAAGGGTTTGATGCAGCATCCAGTGGACATAACTGGATACTGTAAGAAGGAGGTTCGTAGGATTGTGTCTGGGCCTGGAGATATTGGCTAGTATCATTCGGTTGCACAATCCATGTAGCTTACATGCCAGAGGCTGTGCGTGAACAGCCCAGGAGAGCAGCAAGAAGGCAAGAAGAGTTTGATGTTTCCCTCTGTTGTTATCAGGACCAGTGATCTGCTAGATCACTCCAATCTTCGACTCTGGGAGCCAGCCTTACCCTGCTCTGCTGTGATCAACCCTGATCTTAAAAACTTCTAAGGAAGGAGATTACACCACCTCCCTAGGTAATGCATTCCAGTGTTTCACAACCCTCCGAGTGAAAAAGTTTTCCCTAATATCCAACCTACACCTCCCCCACTGCAACTTGAGACCATTACTCCTTCTTCTGTCATCCATTACCACTGAGAACAGTCTAGATGCATCCTCTTTGGAACCCCCTTTCAGGTAGTTGAAAGCAGCTATCAAATCCCTCCTCATTCTTCTCTTCTGAAGACTAAACATCCCCAGTTCCCTCAGCCGCTCCTCATAAGTCATGTGTTCCAGTCCCCTAATCATTTTTGTTGCCCTCCGCTGGACTCTTTCCAATTTTTCCACATCCTTCTTGTAGTGTGGGGCCCAAAACTGGCCACAGTACTCCAGATGAGGCCTCACCAATGTCTAATAGAGGGGAATGATTACGTCCCTCGATCTGCTGGCAATGCCCCTACTTATACAGCTCAAAATGCCATTGGTCTTCTTGTCAACAAGGGCACACTGTTGACTCATATCCAGTTTTTCATCCACTGTAACCCCTAGGTCCTTTTCTGCAGAAATGCTGCCAAGCCATTCGGTCCCTAGTCTGTAGCAGTGCATGGGATTCTTTCATCCTAAGTGCAGGACTCTGAACTTGTCCTTGTTGAACCTCATCAGATTTCTTTTGGCCCAATCTTCTAATTTGTCTAGGGTCCTCTGGATCCTATCCCTACCCTCCAGCGTATCTACCTCTCTCCCAGTTTAGTGTCATCTGCAAACTTGCTGAGGGTGCAATCCACACCATCCTCCAGATCATTTATGAAGATATTGAACAAAACCAGCCCCAGGACCGACCCTTGGGGCACTCCACTTGATACCGGCTGCCAACTAGACATGGAGCCATTGATCACTACTTGTTGAGCCGGACAATCTAGCCAGCTTTCTATCCACCTTATAGTCCATTCATCCAGCCCATACTTCTTTAACTTGCTGGCAAGAATACTGTGGGAGACTGTGTCAAAAGCTTTGCTAAAGTCAAGGAACAACACGTCCACTGCTTTCCCCTCATATATACAAATATATACAAATATTACACAAACTTTGCATTCATTACAATGGACTCCAAAGACTTTGAAACTTAATACAGTCAGGTTTTTTCAATGCTATTGCAGGAACTTGCCACATCTGTCCCACGCACCATGTTTAAACACCACTTAGAGACACATTACTGATTTTAGCATGTAATGAAGACTCTCAGAATTGTGTTCTGCAGTACATGAGTTTTCATAATATACACATCATCACAGTACCTTAGCACTGTCCTGTAGTGCAGGAGTTCTCAAACTTCATTGTACCATGACAACCTTCTGACAACAACAATTATTACACAACCTGAAGCCTGAGCCCACCCGAGCCCCTCCACCCAGGGCAGGGGGTCAAATCCCAAGGGTTTCAGGCCCAGTTAGGGATCTACAACCTGAGCCCCTCTGCCCAGGCCTGAAGCCCTCCAGCTTCGACTTCAGCATTGGACGGTGGAGCTCAGGCTTCAGCCCTGGGCCCCAGAAAGTCTAAGTCAGCCCTGGTGACCCCATTAAATTGGGGTCAGGACCCACTTTGGGGTTCCGACGCACAGTTTGAGAGCCGCTGCTGTAGTGAATTTAAAAGCATCTCTTCATTTGAAAGGAATTCCACCATTCATTTATGAATACGAGACCCTGGACAGGGGATGGAATATTAACCTATATACATATTAAGAAGTAAAAAGGCTCTTGGTAAAAAATATCTTGCTTGAAATTTTGCCCAGAGTTTCTTTTATCTCTTTGTTTCTCAGGCTGTAAATGAGTGGATTTATTACTGGGGTAACCACAGAATACAACATAGTAGCCAGCATGCCCTGATATGGGGAAGATTCTGATCCTGGCCTTAGCTACATTGCATTCCATAGCATTCCAGTGCTAATAAACAATGAAAACACAAGTAGGTGTGGCAGACAAGTGGAGAGGGGTTTTCCTCCCCTGTGCGGGGGGGGTTTTCCCACAACAAAAAAGAGGTGAGGTGGGAACCCAATGGGGATTTTATATTATTTTTTTCTAACTGGAGGATGTGTGGATGCACTCCATGCGGTGTCAAATGGGAGGAGTGGTGATCCGGGGGGGGGATGGACGGGGCTAGACAAATTGGAGAATTGGGCCATCTTATAGCAGGTTGCCCTGTGCAGAGGGGAATTCTCAGCACAGCAGCACAGAAAAGATGTGAATGGTAGGCGGCGTTTGGGAAAGGGGGGGGGGGGGGGGGGGGGGTGGGGGGGGGGGGGGGGGGGGGGGGGACATTGGTGAGGCCTCAATATGGAGATCTGGCCGGGGCCCAGAAGGGGGGAGGGGGGGTAAGAAAAATGATTAGGGCACTGGAACATGGAGAGGAGGGGGCTGGGATTGTTTAGTGAGAAGAGAAGAATGAGGGGGATTTGATAGCTGTTTTCAACTAACCTGAAAGGGGTCCAAAGAGGGTGGGTTAGACTTTCTCAATGGTATCAGATGACAGAAAGGAGTAATGGTTCATTAGGAACACTTGTATCAGCACTAGGGAAGAAAGAGTTTCGATTGGTTTGAGAGCTGTGGGATATCACAGAAGAACTGATCAACAACACTGGACACACAGAAAGGTAATAGGAAGGCATTAGCAGTGAGGAGCAATGAATAAATACAGCTGCTGATCCAGGAACCAGCTGCCATCTGTGCACATGCCCCTCTGGTCATGATGACCCTGTAACGCAAAGGATGGCAGATTGCAACGTAGCGGTCATATGCCATCTCTGTGAGAAGGACCAACTCTGAAAAGGCAAAGAAGATACCAAAATAGACTTGGGCAACAGAGCCAGAGAAAGAGATCTGTCTGGTGTTGGTTAGGGAGTTCACCATGGACTTGGGGATGGTGACGGATATGTAGCAGATGTCTAGGAAGAAATACATAGGGCTGTGAAGATGGTGGTCGAGGGCTACAGCTACGATGATAAGAAGATTGCCCATCAGGGCTGCCAGGTAAATCACCAGGAACACCACAAAGTGCAAAATCTGCAGCTCCCGAACATCAGAGAATCTCAGGAGAAGGAACTTGGTCACAGTGCTTTGGTTGGACATTTCCTGCTGTGTGGAGAGAAATGCAAGATAAAACCAGATGAGGGTAGAAAAGAAGAAAAGAGGACAATATATGTAGTTATTCTTCTGTAGAAAAGATTCTGGATTCTAGAACTAGTGCAAAGAATAGTCCTTATCTAAGGTCATTCAGATCCAAGGAGAAAGTATTAGTGACAAATTATTCTCAATGAAACATTTATTCAGATACATTTTGCGAATTTAATGTTCATGCTATGTCCTATAGTCGATTGAAATTTTCCCAAATTTATTTGCTCTTCAAAATGATTCAGCCTCATTTACAGCTAGAGAAATGCATTGGGACAAATTCTCTTTCACAGTTACAATAATTCATGAGTTTTAAGCATTTTTTCCTTGCATTTTATCTATTTAAATTTTCACAGTTGCTGGAAATTATTTGGAGGACAACACAGAATGGGGCACAGACAATACTTGTGTAATGACATTGAAGCTGAAAAAATTAAAGGTTTGTAACCGTTAAAATGCAAGTTGTCAATATCACGTCAAAATATTCAAAGTAAATACCCTGAAAACGAAGCACAACTAAGTTCTCAAGTAGGATTTTTCTTATTTTACATTGCTGCACATTTTTATTATTATCAGTGGAAATATTTTTCATTGGTTTTTGTGTATATATTGAAATTAATATTTACCGACTTTTCTTGATAAATCTCTTATTCTTCCAAGCATTCTTATAATTCAATAGAGAGGACATTGGCACACTCCATGGCCATGTATTTACAGTGTTATATAGGGTATGTCAGCATTGCAAAAAAACTCCCTTTAGCGATGAGTATCAGAGGCTAGGTCAACTGATTTGAGCTCGTGATACTGAGCTAAAAGTAGCAGTGTAGACATTCCCGGTTTGGCTGGAGGACCGGCTTTAAAACCCAGTGAAGTGAAAGGATCTCAGAGCCCAGCTCCAGCCTGAATGGGAATGTCTACTCTGCTATTTTCAGCCCTGTAGCCTGAGCCCCATGAGCTCGTGTCAGTTGACTGAATCTTTGAAGCTTGCTGCTGTGGGGCATTTTTATCCCCCAGTATGGACATACTTATGGTGTTAAAAAAAAAAAACAATGATGCTGTTTTTGGTGGGATAACCAAAAGAAACAGGTGGTGGTGGCTGGGAGTCTCATTCTATCTGATTCCCCAGGGCACCTTGAACAGTACATTCAGTGCTAGGCATCAAAAAGAAAGATAATGAAAAATGAAGACAGAAGTGGGGAGGAACAGAGTTTTTATAGGTTGGAAGGAATCAACTGTGAGGAAAACGTATTATGTCCCCATAAGCAGATATCTATATAACTGTCATAAATATAAAGGGAAGGGTAACCACCTTTCTATATACAGAACTATAAAATCCCTCCTGGCCAGAGGCAAAACCCTTTCACCTGTAAAGGGTTAAGAAGCTAAGATAACCTCGCTGGCACCTGACCAAAATGATCTATGAGGAGACAAGATACTTTCAAAGCTGGAGGGGGTGGTGGTGGGGAAGAAAGGGTCGGGCTGTCTGTGTGATGCTTTTGCTGGGAACAGATCAGGAATGCTCTTCAGAACTCCTCTAAAAAGTTAGTAAGCAATCTAGCTAGAAATGCGTTAGATTTTCTTTAGTTAAATGGCTGGTAAAATAGCTGAGCTGAATGGAATGCAGATTCCTGTTTTTGTGTCTTTTTGTAACTTAAGGTTTTGCCTAGAGGGATTCTCTATGTTTTGAATCTGATTACCCTGTAAGGTATTTACCATCCTGATTTTACAGAAGTGATTCTTTTACTTTTTCTTCAATTAAAATTCTTTTTTGAAGAACCTGATTGCTTTTTCCTTGTTCTTAAGATCCAAGGGTTTGGGTCTGTGTTCACCTATGCAAATTGGTGAGGATTTTTACCAAGCCTTTCCCAGGAAAGGGGGTGTAGGGCTTGGGGGGATATTTTTTGGGGGAAGATGTCTCCAAGTGGGATTTTCCCCTGTTCTTTGTTTAATACGCTTGGTGGTGGCAGCATAGGGTTCAAGGACAAGGCAAAGTTTGTACCTTGATGAAGTTTTTAACCTAAGCTAGTAAGAATAAGCTTAGGGGGTCTTTCATGCAGGTTCCCACATCTTTAACCGTAGAGTTCAGAGTCGGGAAGGAACCTTGACATGGTGGCAGAACGGTGGGATCAGTTTGAGATTATTTTTTTAGATCATTTTGAAGCAGAAGCACAGTAGGATTTTAAAAGAAATTTTTTTCCCATTTGGGCTGCTTAGAAGCAGGTTTTAAGCTGAAAGCAGTTAGAGTTTCGCTGTCTCTGCATGGGGCCAGAGCAGCAGGCATAACAAACGGGATTTGTCCTTTTTGAGCTGGAGTTTTCTCTACCTCAAGGCAGGGTAGTTAACCTCCTGCAGGGAAATTCACAAGTTTTTCACAGACCTGAAGAGGTTGTTTGTTTTTTTTTTAAGCTAAGAGCAACTAGAGGGTTTTTCTGTCTATTTGCCTGGAGAAAAAGGATTTTTCTGTAGGCTAAGAATAGCTATCAGAGAACATAGGTATCACATTACAGCACAAAAATTTTACAAGCCAGTTTTTTTTTTTTAACTCTCAGGTGTAAAGTTAGTTAAAAACGGAGAGGCTAAGATGACAGAACCCAAGGCAGAAAAAAACAAAGAGGCTGCCCACAGGAGAGAAATGGAGGTAAAGGAAAAAAGAAATGGAAGCAAAGGAAAAAGAGTGAAAGCAAGCACTGGAGATGGAGAAAGCAAAGGCTCAGCAGAATATACCAGATAACCCTAACAATCTTTACCCAACAATCCACAAATGGGAGCAACAGTATGATGAATCCACAGTATGATGAATCCAGTGATATTGCTGAATATTTTCTCACCTTTGAGAGACTGTGCACACTCTACAAAATTCCTGAAGCTCACAAGATGACCATGTTGGTTGCAAAATTGACTGGAAGAGATCTGGACATATTCAATAAGATGCCTATTGATGAGCCTTCTAACTATAATAAATTCAAGGATTTGGTTTTAAAGGAATTTCAAGTTACACCTGAAACTTACAGAGTAAAATTTAGAGCCCTTAAGAGAGGACCTGGACTAAGTAATGTGGCTTATCTAAACCAGATAAAGGATCTGTTAGATAAATGAGTCAAAGCAAGGGGTGTAACTAGCTTTTAAGGAATGTGTGATTTGATGGCTCAGGAGTAATTCCTGAATATGTACAAGGAGGAAATGAAACAGTGTTTGTGGGATAAGGAAATGGACTCAGCAGAAAGTCTTGCTTCTTATGCTGATCAATACGAGCAGTCCCAGACCACCAGAGAGGTGGGGCAAACCGGAACAAAACAGGATGGAGGGAGGAGAGAGAAACAACCCTGGTCGCAGTTGGAGCAGATACCAGAAGGGACAACCTCAGACCTCACCCTACTATTGGGGGCACCCAAGGCCCCAACTACACCCCAAGGAACACTCCAGACACCTTATAGTCCTGCCACACTGTTCTCCAGCAACCCACCTTCCCCCAGTGACCCGTCAGCTGCACGATGTTTTAAATGTAACGAGCCGAGGCATGTAAAGGCCAGCCGCCCCAAGAACCCAAACAGTTTACAGTTCATTGCACCAGAATCACACCAGAGGTCCTCAGGCCCAGATACCTCCCAGATACCCTCAGAGCGGAGGGAAGCTGTGAGTGTGGGTGGGAAGAAGGTCACCATGTGGAGGGACACTGTAGCACAGGTGTCGGCTCTCCATGCTTTCTTAGTGGACCCCAATTTAATCGACTCAGAGATCCAAGTGACGATTCAACCCTTCAAGTCAAACTCTTTTGACTTGCCTACAGCCAAGTTGCCAGTCCAGTACAAGGGCTGGTCAGGAACATGGACTTTTGCAGTCTATGATGATTATCCCATCCCCATGCTGTTGGGGGAAGACTTGGCCAATCATGTGAAGCTAGCCAAGAGGGTGGGAATGGTCACCTGCAGCCAAGCTAAGCAAGCTGTCATGCCTAGCTCTGTTCCAGAAACTTCTACCAGGACCCAGTAAGAGGTAATGGGACCAGACCCCATGCCAAAGTCTGCAAAACAGTAGTGGATCCAGTCTCAGAGACCCAGACAGAGCCAGTCTCAGAACCGGAACTGGCAGAACAAACAGCAATAGAACCATTCCCAGCACTGAATCCAGTACTTGCAACACCAACACCAGTGCGCCCCACTGAACCTGCACTGGCAGCAGCAGATAACCCGACACAAGAGGCTCAGCTGGAGCCTGAACCCCAACATAGTGCACCAGTGGAGAGCGGTTCACAGGCAACAGAAACAGCCCCATCACCTGCATCGCTTCCAGAGGGACCAAGCCCAGATCCACAATCCAGTGAGGAACTGATATCTTCAGCATCAAGGAAACAGTTCCAGACCGAACAGGAAGCAGATGAAAGCCTCCAAAGAGCTTGGATGGTGGCACGGAGCAACCCACTGCCTCTCAGCTCTTTTCAGCGATCAAGGTTTGTTGTAGAAAGAGGACTTTTATTCAAGGAAACTCTTTCTGGTGGACACCAGGAAGACTGGCATCCTCAGAGACAGTTGGTAGTTCCAACTAAGTACTGGGTACAGCTCTTAAGCTTAGCCCACGATCATCCTATTGGCCATGCCGGGCTGAACATAACCAAAGACCATTTGGGAAAGTCGTTCCACTGGGAGGGAATGGGCAAGGATATTTCTGCCTATATCCGGACTTGTGAGGTGTGAAAAGAGTGGGAAAACCCCAAGACCAGGTCAAAGCCCCTCTCCAGCCACTCCCCATCTTTAAGGATCCATTTCAGCAAGTAGCTGTGGATATTCTGGGTCCTTTTCCGAAAAAGGCACCCAGAAGAAAGCAGTACACGCTGACTTTCATGGATTTTGCACCCAATGGCCGGAAGCCGTAGCTCTGAGCAACACTGGGGCTAAAAGTGTGTGTCAGGCACTAACAGACATTTTTGCCAGGGTAGGTTGGCCCTCCAACATCCTCACAGA